ATTGTTTCAGTATGTTTTTGCTCTCGGAACTGTTCGGAGGGGGGTGCAAGGAAACGTCCGCACAAGCGGGGGAACAGGAACACGGACCGCCTTTTGCGTGTCTTCCACATGAGTCTATGTGTGCATTATTTTTTTTCTTTACGCTCGGGTCAACGTGCACATTTTTTGCATGGTTTACGGAAGAAATGGACAGCACCCACCGCAACCCTCGAACGCTGGTGACAGGTCGAGCTAAGTTTTTTTTTTCGGGGGAGCGGAGACGACAACATAAGAGTGCTTGAAAAAAAGATCATATACACTCGCAGCTGTCGAGCTTGGCCTGCGACGAAGCCAGCATCTGAGGAAGGGACAGCCGGGTCTTTGTGTGGCTGATATGGGCAGCCGTGTTTCCTTAGGATACATGGCAGAGGAAAAACATCGAATGTCGCGGGGCCTACGCGTGGCTTGTCTTCCACATTTGCGGCGGTGACGGGCAGCGGATTTTTTTTTCAGCTTCACGCCGCAACTAGACGTCGCATATCGCAGGGGCACTGCCGCAGCGTTTCTCGCCAATTTTATTGTGTCCCTCTTGCTTGTTGCCAAGTGTCCCTGTATGGAATGATACACAAAACAAGCTGAGCTTAACAAAAAGAATGTCGAGCGCCGACCCTCTACTCCCCCTCTGCCCACACATGTACGCCGAGTAGCCTCCCAACTACAACCCTGGTACTTGCTAGCGAGCATTATTTTTCCAGCGGAAGTTTCGCACTGTACGCCAGGATAACCTGATAACAACGACAATAAAACATCTCTGTCGACTTCGACAGGCGTCGGGTTCGAACAGACACTTAGATGCGAGCTTACTAGTACCTCAGCAACGCTAGAACGCCATCACGAGGAATGCCCTCCATACACTTGCCACAAAACATGCCCGTTGCGCGCGCAAAACGATCCCCGCGCCGGCATTGGTTCCCTTGCCCACTAGCCCCAATCTCTTGCGCCGCCAAGTACTGTAGGTTGCTCCGCACCGTGCGCGCAAGCACGTACGACACAGTATCGCCTTGGCTGTCCCTCTCCTTCTGACGGTCGAGCACATGCTGCGAGGGGGCGGGGAGGGAGGGGTGGGGTGGGGGCAGGAAATATGGTGAGTATCAACAAAAACAAGTAACCGCTACCCCTGGGGTAGGTTGCAGGATAAATTGGCACCGCCTAATCTACCTAATTACGGTACACACCGTCGTTTCATGGTGTATACTGACGTGAATCAACGGTATCATCGGGTGCACAAGATATCGCCCCCCACGATTCTAATTTCCAAAGGAACGTTTGCGATGCAGAAAACGTCGGAGTTGTAACGCTCTTGTGGACCACTTCCCGTAAACGTGTCGTTGGGGCTACACACCTCTTCGTGACCCAGTGCGGTAGTGAAGCCCTCAAACTTGGTGCGGTGTGTGTGTGTGCCACACACTGGTGCCGGGGATGTGATATCTTGCGTCACCAAAGGTGCGTCTTGTTGGGATTTTTCTGTGATTTTGCAGACTTGCTTTGGTCTTGGGCATGTACGTTCGGGCCAAGCACTTAGTCATTCCTAACTCTGCATCCATGTAGCTGCTGCGTGCAACAGGACTTTCCGCGTTTTGTTCGTCTTTGAGCTTCAATATAGACTGCTGCTGTAGGATAGGATAGATAGAGCCAGTATGTATTGAGAGAAACGAATCATTGCTATTATATTATAATATACTTATAAGTATATGGGTCTGCTGTATGTACATGCTAAATGCTGCAATCCACGTTTCGGCTTTGCGGGAGGCTGTCCACCGTCTTCGAGAAGGACTTTGATGAAAGAAGCAAGCCACTACACACACCTGGATAGACACCCCAGCGATGATATGGGCCTGCTGGTGCCCACAGGTCGTGATCCTATCGGGGTCGCTTTCGTCCCATCCCGGCTGGGGTGTCTCGCACCCGCACCTATCGCGGCCGTCACCGCTTGCTCCTTCAGCAATGCCCGGACTCCACCCGGGTTTCCCACGGCCGCCTGCAGCAGCGCCTTCGCCAGAGGCGTCTGCTTGGCAGCACGCGGGGGCTCGTCTGCCAGGAGGGTGGCCAGCTCTTCATCGAACTCGTCGTCTTGCAAACCATCGCCATCGAGGCTAGGTGTTGATGCCGCAGCAGCACCTGCTCCTCGTCCTTCCGCAGCATCGGCGACATCGGCGACACCCTCGGACACAACGAGCCAGGGATCGTTGCTTCTTCATTCGTCTTAGCACGTTTGGGCGTGGGCGTGTCGATGTCAGACATGACTCTCGCGGGGTATGGCAGGCAATGTGTACCGAGCTGCTGTCTCTCTTTAGAGACAGGGGCACAGGTGGTGGTGCCGTATGGATTTCAGGCTGAAATCGACGCGATTTTTGTCGTTTTGAAATCGTCGATTGGTAGTTGACGGAATCACGTGGGGGTTACGAACCGGCACATGCCGCCCATGAACACGCCAAACAGTCTCTCCATAGAACCAAGAAAAAAAAACTATCTAACCACAGTGCTGCCTTAGTACTAGGGTTGGAGGTGGAATAGTTTTTTGTGGTGGTTGCACAAAAGTACCTGCAGTAGGCTCGTGCGTCTGTTGATTGGCTGGCTCGTGTGATTTTCTCGTCGTACAGAAGA